TATTTATTCTATTTGAATCTATAATAACCAATTTTTTGTGCTAAAAAAAAAAAAAAATTTGTCGTGTCAGAGAATTTGATTAATTTATTGGCTCCCCTCAGAGAAAAAAAAAACACACATAATTTCGCTTTCTTTTTTCTCTACACATACATAATCATGGAGCAATTTCAATCAACTATGCTGGAACTCATTAAGTATCAGATGCAAACACAACAAGAGAGTGAAGAACGTTTTCAGAAAGAACAACTGAAATTTCAGAAAGAACAAAAGGAAGAAAAGGAAAGGTTAATTGAAGAAAATGCAAAACGATTTCTGGAGCTACACGAAAAACAAAATAAAATACAAGAAGAAAACGGAAAGAAACAGTTAGCAATGATTGAACTTATACATAAAGCTATACTGTCTAAGCAGAAAGACTCGGATGAAAGTACTTTTTCTCAAGACACAATATGGTCGACGATCGAAAGTTTTACCTATAACTCAGAAGAGGAAAAGACTTTCGAAAGATATTATCATAGATATCAGGACTTTTATGAAGTCGATTGCTAAACATGGACAGATGAGAAAAAGATAAGATTGTTACTACGGAAACTGGGAACAGCAGAACATAATAAATTTACGGACTTTATATTACCCAAAAAGACAAGAGACTTAAAATTCGACGAAGCGATTGAATTACTAAAAGAGCTCTTCAACCCCAGATTATCATTATTTCACAAAAGGAGTAAATGTCTTAATATTCAAAAAAGCAAGCAGGAAGACTACACGACTTTCGCGTCAATCGTAAATAAGACGTGTGACGATTTTCGATTGTCCGAATTATCGGCGGACAATTTCAAGTGTCTAATATTCGTGCTAGGCTTAGTGTCTATAAAAGAAAGCGAAATGCGAAGACGCATTTTAGCAAAGCTAGAAAATGAGTAAAAACATGACACTACAAAAGCTAGCCGAGTACTGTCAGCAATGCGTAAGCTTGAAGCAAGATTCAGAGAAAATAGAAAGTAAATAGGAAGACTCGTTTCCGTTCTCCATTCACCATCGCCTAAACGGAAATGGTATCCTACTACAAGAATGCACAGAGACTATAAAAAAAAAACTCCCTCCGAGTGCATGTTACGGATGCGGCCAGTGGCATTGGTACAATGATTGTCCATATAAAAATAAAGCTTGCAGAAATTGCAAGAAAGTAGGACATAAGATGTCCAAGTGCAGAAAATTAAACAGAAGTCGAGAAAAAGTTACTAAGTCAGATGAAGATCAAGACCTGAATATTCGAAAATACCTACATGTAAAAATGTACAACAAGAAGGTTAAAATGCAACTGGATTCAGGATCTAACATTTCGATTATTAACACACAAACATGGAAAAATCTAGGAAAGCCAACTCTGCTAAAGTCCAACAAAATAGCCAGGACGGTAACTGGAAAAAAGATCAAAGTTGAAGGTGAAATATGGGTGAATATAACCTTCAACAACAAGACTATAAAAATGAAAATTTTTGTAATGAAAAACACGAACAACCTGTTTGGGATTGACGCAATCACTAAGTTCAATCTATGGGACGTGTCCATTAGTTCTTTTTGTAACAACATTAGTGAAAGCAAAGACAATATAAACAATTTAAAAACAGAATTGAAAATATCATTCCCCGAAGTTTTCGCTGAAGGACTTTGACAATGCACAGAAGCATCAGCAAAAAAACAATTGAAGAAAAATATTCAACCAATTTAAAAAAAAAAAAGCGTAGCATCCCTTTTGCCGCATTAGAAAAAATTGACCAAGAACTCGAAAGACTAACGAGAATTGGTGTGATCTCGAAAACGGAATACAGTGACTGGGCAGCTCCGGCTGTCTACGTAAAGAAGAAGTCGGGCGAAATTCGCGTCTGCACCGATTTTTCAACCGGGTTAAACGACGCAATAGAAGAGTATCACTATCTACTACCAAGTCCGGAAGAAGTGTTCGCAAAGTTAAATGGTGGGAAAATCTTTTCGAAAATAGACCTTAGCGAGGCATACTTGCAAGTACCCATGGATAACGAAAGCGAATTAACACGCATAAAGGCTTGTTCAGATACGAACGTTTACCGTTCGGGGTGAAGACAGCACCCGCAATATTCCAGAAAATAATGGATACTATGTTATCCAGTTTAGACTACACGATATCATATCTCGACGATATACTCATGAAAAGTGAATCGGTGGATGAATACAAACACCATTTACGCAAAGTTTTCGAAAGGATAAGAAGCTATGGGTTTAGAGTGAAAGAAAACAAATGCGATTTTCTCCTGGAGGAGATCAAGTATCTGGGACATATAGTAAATAAAGAAGGGAAAAAGCCAGATAAAAATCGAGCATCGGCAATAAAAGATAGGCCTGAGCCAAAGAATATTAAATCCCTACAAAGTTTTTTAGGCTTGGTGTCATATTACCAGGACTTTATCCCAGACCTCCACATTCTACGAGCTCCCCTTAACGATCTACTAAAAAAAGAAAATCCTTGGATATGGACAAAAGAATGCGCGCATGCATTTAAGGATATAAAAGAAAAGTTGACATCAGATTTATTTCTGGTATATTTTGATCCAAAAGTAGATATCATCGTGGCGAGCGATGCCAGTACACACGGCGTAGGTGCGTGCATATTGCACAAGTGGAAGGCTGGTAAAGTTCGACCGATCTCTCATGCAAGCAGATCGTTACTACCTGCTGAGCGAAACTTTTCATAAGTCAAAAAAGAGGCATTGGCGATTATCTTCGCTGGAACAAAGTTCCATAGATACATACATGGACGGTATTTTACGCTGCAGACAGACCACAAGCCTCTGGTAACGATATTCGGTTCAAAGAAGGGTGTGCCAACATACACCGCAAATAGATTGCTTAGGTGGGGAACAATTTTGCTAAATAATAACTTTAAAATACAATATTTGTCCACCCACAAAATTGGTCATGCAGACGGTCTATCAAGACTCATTCCGAAAGCAACAGAACCATTAGAGGATACGGTAATCGCATCCCTCAGAGCAGAGGATGAGGTTGAAGAAAATTTGACGAACGCAATTCGAGAATTACCTGCATCGCATAAGGACATCAAAAAAGAGGCAGAAAAGGACAAATATATTATGGAAATAAAAGATAAGCTAGCTAAAAAAGACGAAAAAATTCAAGAGACATTCTCTCTGTGTGATAATGTGCTAATATATAGTAAAAGGGTAGTAATCCCTAGTACACTCCAAAAAAGAATATTGAAAGATTTTCATGCTGGTCACCCGGGCATAAATAGAATGAAGAGCCTCATGAGAGCATATGTCTACTGGCCAGGTATGGACAACGACATCGCGTCTATAGTTGGCAGATGTAAAGGCTGTATTTTGGCATCAAAATCACCACAAATTCTACAGAAGCCATGGCCAAAAACCGACAGGCCATGGTCAAGGATTCATATTGATTTTGCGGGTCCAATTGACGGGTGACATTATTTGGTCGTAGTTGACAGCTATAGTAAATGGCCCGAAGTTTTCCAAATGAAGAGGCCAACATCACAAAATACGATAATAAATTGCATGAATTATTTGCAAGGTTTGGAGTGGTAGATACTGTGGTTAGTGACAACGGTACTCAATTAACGAACAAAGAATTCGCAGAATTCTGCCAGAATTTTCAAATGGATCAGGTGAGGATTCCTCCGTATCACCCACGCAGCAGCGGACTAGCCGAAAGGTTTGTCGATACGCTAAAAAGTGCTCTTAAAAAAGCAACGGGTACCCCGACTAGAAAGGCGTTATAGCTATTCCTGCAAGTATACCGCATTACTCCGAATAAATCTGCCCCATCAAGCCTATCACCTGCGGAGCTAATGTTTGCAAGGAAGATCAGATCTGCATTTGATAAATTGATACCGGAAAATAAGATACACACACCAGTCGCTATGGTTCCTAAGCGAAAATTCCACACAAATGAAAAAAGTTTTTTTCAAGAATTATAAAAATAATACGACATCGTGGGAACCAGGAGTCATACAAAAGCGGATTGGGAATATGGTGTACATTGTAAAGGGGAAAAAAATTTACACATAAAAGGCACATCAACAAGCTAAAGAAAAGGAGTACTGAAGAATCGGAAGAAACACCGCAAGTAGAAGACGAATTATACGAATTATATGATACTATTGATTTACAAGTATCACAGACAGAGCAAAAACAGCGCAGATCTGGTAGAAAGCGAAAAGCGATGCAAAAATTTATGATGGACCCGAAAAGGAAAAAAATATTGAAAAAAAATTTTAGGTGGTGGTGGGGGGACCCACCTTCTCATCAGAATGGACTGATCTCTCTACTACTAATAGGACAGTTTTAGAGAGTTCTGGGAGATCAGGTGACCATCATACATCCGTCTCTCTACCGGAAGATACAGTTGGACTTTATACTCTTTCTGATTGTTACTGACTAACCTGCGTTCGTTTGACTACTAATCTCTCTGTTGTAAATACCTCTTCAGATATACCAGTATTTTTTCCCTACGTATGTTTTTGTCCTTATTTCAATACAGGCACGAGGAAACACTCAACATCTCAGATAGATAGATAGATAGATATGAAGTGAATGAAATAAATAAATGCGAACAGTCTTAGCTAGATAGATAGATAGATAGATAGATAGATAGATAATAGAATGAAAAGAATTTGATAGATAGATAGATAGATAGATAGATAGATAGAGAATAGATAGATATGAAGAGAATGTGATAGATAGATAGATAGATAGATAGATAGATAGATAGATATGAAGTGAATGAAATAAATAAATGTGAACAGTCTTAGCTGGATAGATAGATAGATAGATAGATAATGAAGAGAATGTGATAGATAGATAGATATGAAGTGAATGAAATAAAAAAATGTGAACAGTCTTAGATAGATAGATAGATAGATAGATAGATAGATAGATAGATAGATAGATAGATAATTGTAGTCTGCCCTGTATAGAGCTCGAAAGATAAAAAAAGAATTAAAGGAAAGAAGTAAAAGAAAAAAAAATCAGACTTGCATTGCTGATGTAATCGACTTCTGTAAACGCCATCGGGTCTGCCTTTGCACTCATTCAATACAATGAAAAACCAAGCCCGTACCTTCGCCATGACATTTCACTGTTATTTATGTATTAAAGGACTAACATTTATACTAATGAAGAAGAAGAAGAAAAAATACATAAAAAAACGCCTCCTGGGTGCCGCAATGTCATTTCACGCAGATAGAATCATTGGAATGCCCGTAGAAGAAGAAAAACGAAACTGGGGGTTTAGGCTATTGAACGAATAACAGGAGAATCAACCATTCGGATGTCGGAAAGATTGATTGACCAACTATTCTGCTGCCAAACCTATCTTAGATCTTCCAGAATCTTCCAAATTCTTGTATTTATTGTGAAGTCAGCGTGTCTAATTATTCAGCCTGAAACGACACTTCTACAATTTCTTTTACACTCACAGACGCAGTCATAAATATTAACACGTGCGCATTACATATATATATATAAAGACATTTTTATGGTTATACATTCTTTTTATAGATACAAATATTTAAGTAAATGGTCTGTTTATAATTAACAGTATTAACGGCATTTACCGGCCTGAATGTCCGAGAAATTTTCATAGAAAATATTCGTCCTCCGACAGGAATCGAACCTGTATCCTATACGGTACCGTCATATAACCTTGACGTGCCTTAACAGATTGGGCCACAGAGGATCGTTCAGTTAGCAAGGTCGATTTTACTGCTTTTAAACTACAATCTTCCATGAATCTATCACGTACGTTCATATCTGCTCAATGTGTATCAAAATGTAAACGAATGACGTCACATATTATGAATTGGACAAATATTAGAGAAAGTTCGACAATTGTCGAACTTTCTCCAATATATATATATATATATATATATATATATATATATATATATATATATATCAGTCAGTTATGTACCATGCGTGATACACGCTTAGGGATCATTCACGTATCTTTCCATACATGACTGATGAGACAGATTTCTTCACTCAGTAGGTTGCCATTTCTTTCTGCGGTAGACCAGTTGCCTGTCCTGCTATTTACCCATAGCTGGGGGAGAAGAAGAGAGTTCATAACTTTCCTAAGGTGATCAGCACGTAAGTGATTGTAATGGAGTCAACTGGAATTCGAACTCGGATATCCGTTTCCTCAATCCGAGCCACTAGCCATTACTTCACCGAATCACTTACGTGGTAATACCCTTGGTAAAGGTATGAATCCTCTTCTTCTCCCCACAGCTATGGGTAAATAGCAGAACAGCCCGAGTTCTCTAGACTTGGATGGCAACTGGTTTCATTTTCTACCGCAGAAAGAAATTACAATATACTAAGGGAAATAATCTGCCTCGTCAGTCATGTATCGAAAGATACATGATCGGTTGCATGAAGATTTGGTTAAGAAACCGAAATAAAATTTTGGCAGTATATACACCCTTCTGCAAATTAACTGAAATAAAACGAATGATTCCGTTATTATTTACTCTTTTTTCGTATTTTCCCAATGAAACATGGGCCAATGTACTTCACATGTCCATTGCACGAAGTCGTTCTTTGCAGGTCGACCACAGATGCTCGACGGGATTTGAATCAGGAGAGTTTCCGGTTAAATTTTATCGTACTTTGATTTGCTCATTGGTAAGGCTTGCCATTGTGTTCGTACAGCGTTACAAATGTTCGTACGCTTCCTTGGAGTAACGTCCATCGCAAACAATAGCCGTAGAGACAACTAATTGACAGTCGAGATAATAGTGTCTGAATGTGATAAAAATCTGATGCAATCAAGGTTGATGCAACTTTTTTCAAGGCCAAACAATTTTCATCATACACCACGAAAATAGATTCATATTACTGCACACCACTGCAAATGACCTGCTCTGAGAAAAAAAAATTGAGGCATAAACTCTCCAATATTTGGATATTTTTTATGCTTTTCCAACAATTTATATCCTCGCACATGGGGTGATACAGATTTTTAAAAAAATCCCAAGAATTACACCTTGTCACTCCAGTGGCTCTAAAACTGAGCATATTGTAAGGGAAACTAAAGCGGAATTTTCAATTAATTTGCACATGGGTATATATATATATATATATATATATATATATATATATATATATATATATAATAAATATGGGTTGTATTTAGTACAAAATGCTCAATATCTGTGATATAGCTAACATATGCGGTTGCATAGAGATTAGTTTTTGGCCATAGGTTTCACGCTTATGCGATCTTCAGACAAACTAATTCATTTTTTTCAGAGTACACCTGTTTATGCTTTATTTCTATTTGTTTAATTACGTGTGGAGGGGGAACATTTTCCTGTTCAGTGTTTCTTTGGGACGATGCTTGCGTATACATAGACACGCACACATACCCGTGAGTCATGTGTGTACGTCTATATGTGTGTGCGTCTGTGTGTGTGAGAGAGTTCGTGTGAGCATGTCTGACGGTGCAACCGACCTGAAAAAATGTCAAAGCCGTCCACACCTGTCCCCTTCTAAGAGAACATTGCTAACATATATGCAACGCTACAATCTTGACAACGAAATAGACAGAATGAAAATTGCGTACGTACGTGTGTTCGAGCGTATGAATGTGTAAAAGCGCCAAACCAAGATTGTAAATATATATGTGTGTGTGTGAATTAAAATGTATGCGTTTGTATGTGCGTCCGACAGGATCATAAAATAAAGATCAAATAGGAAATGATTTACTATCATTAAAGCTTCGTCAAAGATTGAGAGAAAATAGACAAAAAGAAGTAACTCTGGTATTTACAAATTATGGGAGCCAATTCTCATTGGTCAGTCACATATCACGTGCATTAAAACCGTAGATAATTCTATATGTATGCAAGTTTCTTAAGATTCTTGTGCAAAGGGTCGGAAAAAGTGGCATCGGATGGTAAAGTGGGAGTTTTGTCTTCATCTTTGTGCGTGTACAGCGGGGTGACACTTCATTATAATTGATAATGTCTTCATCATTTATTCTTTGTATGAGATAGATTCTTTGAGAATTTTGGGGTTCAATGTATATAGATATATGTATATGTAAAATCATTTATTTAGTTTTTTTATGCGTTCAGACTGAACACATGTAACTTATATGCAGGCATGGTGGAGTAATGGATAACGTCTCTGACTGAGGAATCGGAGAGTCGAGTTCGAATTCCACTCGAATGCATTCCATTCTAAGCTTAGATCAAGGAACAGCGTAATAAAAATATATCCAAATATTGGAGAGTTTATGCGTCTATTTTCTCTCAAAACTGAAGCGACTATACGATGCATAGAACGGCTCATGACCATACAAAATAGACATTATTTGTTTGTTGTATTTAACAGTATATGTTTACATAATGATTTGCTATCTATATATATATATACGTCTTATCAGCTTGTGAGTGGAAGAAATAGATCCGAGGAGGATATAAATCAAGGGAGAGGTCAATGGAGAATCAGAGCATTACAATGATAACAAGAAGACGGGGACTTTAATTATACATTTCGATTATAAATTTATATCGTGAACACTGAGATGTTCAACTTTGTGGATCGAAATATATATATATATATATATATATATATATATATATATATATATATATATATATATATATATATATATTAGTAGTAGTAGTATAAGAAACTATACTGTTCTGAAAACCTTCGGTGTCTTGATTTGTAAATAATCAAACCAATACCAAAGGGAAAAAAAGGTATAAAAAAGAAAGAACCAAGAACATGTACGTTTGCCGAAAATAATCGTCTAGCATGCAAGTCCAAAGCACAAAGAAAAAAAAACCGATACGAATAAGCAAAATAACTAAATAAAGTGCTCGATACACTAAGCAGAGCAGACCTAGTTAAAGCTAGGGAGCCAGACAAAACTACCAAAGTTTCACCTAAGCGGATCTTCAGGGAAGTCTGACTCAAAAGATAATAAAAGAATGGAATACTTATAGTCAATAAACAAAAATCATAATCACGTGACCCCCCCCCAAAAAAAACCCAAACAACGGGGTCGTGAGTGATTGGGAGAGAACCATTTATTCAAATCGTATATAAAACAACATAACAAAACAAGAACAAAAAAAAAAGAAAGAAAAAGTGGGAGGGGGAGAGAAAATCGGACAAAAAGGGGTGTAAACAATATATACAGTGTAACCCGGATATAATAGAGTTGTCGGGACCGGAGAAGAAGTTTCTTATATCCGGGTTTCTCTTATATCCGGGTTTGGTCTATTTTGTTTAGGTAAGTATGGGAACACTTTGGGACCAGAGAAAATTTCTCTTATATCCGGGTTTCTCTTATATCCGGGTTTCTCTTATATCCTGGTCTCTTATATCCGGATTACACTGTACTATAAACTAACGCCTGACGATTGTATCTAGCATGAAACAGACTGTCGCCTCTAAGTGTTGACTTCTATGTTCACTTTTATATTTACACACGCTCTATCTCTGATATTGAGCACTTTATCCCATAAATATAGCACATCTTAAGACTATATTTCTTCATAAACTATAAATTATATATATACATATATATATATTGTCATTATTAGCTGTGTTTCCTTTAAGCGGTTTATCAAGAAGAATGAATAAACATTGAATAAATAAAGATTGAATTCAATGAAAATGAATCTGTCGCATTGAATAGTAAATAAAAATTCCATCGAAAGTATATTTTCTTGGGATTTTTTTTTTAAATCGGTATCACCCCATGTGCGAGGATAGAAATTGTTGGAAAAGTATAAAAAATATCCAAATATTGGAGAGTTTATGCCTCTATTTTCTATCGAAACTAAAGCGACTATACGAAGCATAGAACGGCTGCTGATCAAACATAATAGACATTCGCTGTCTGTTATATTTACCAATATATGTTCGAATATATATGTGTGTATTTTTGCAGCAAAT